GCTATGTCACTGGTAAGGAAGATGTGGCTATGTCACTGGTAAGGACGAGTTGGCTATGTCACTGGTCAGGAAGGGGTGGCTATGTCACTGGTAAGGAAGAGGTGGTTATGTCACTGGTAAGGACGAGGTGGCTATGTCACTGGTAAGGACGAGGTGGCTATGTCACTGGTCAGGAAGGGGTGGCTATGTCACTGGTAAGGAAGAGGTGGCTATGCCACTGGTAAGGAAGAGGTGGCTATGTCACTGGTAGCCTCCTCGTCCTAACTAGAGACATACCTGTAGCCTCCTCGTCCTAACTAGAGACATACCTTTAGCCTCCTCGTCCTAACCAGAGACATACCTGTAGCCTCCTCTTCCTAACTAGAGACATACATGTAGCCTCCTCGTACTAACCAGAGACATACATGTAGCCTCCTCGTCCTAATAAGAGACATACCTGTAGCCTACTCGTACGAACTAGAGACATACCTGTTACCTCCTTGTCCTAACCAGAGACATACCTGTAGCCTCCTCGTCCTAACTAGAGACATGCCTGTAGCCTCCTCGTACTAACTAGAGACATACCTGTAAACTCCTCGTCCTAACCAGAGACATACCTGTAGCCTCCTCGTCCTAACTAGAAACATACCTGTAGCCTCCTCGTCCTAACCAGAGACATACCTGTAACCTCCTCGTCCTAACTAGAGACATACCTGTAGCCTCCTCGACCTAACCAGAGACATACCTGTAGCCTCCTCGTACTAGCTAGGGCCATACCTGTAGCCTCCTCGTACGAACTAGAAACATACCTGTAGCCTCCTCGTCCTAACCAGAGACATACCTGTAGCCTCCTCGTACTAGCTAGGACCATACCTGTAGCCTCCTCGTCCTAACTAGAAACATACCTGTAGCCTCCTCGTCCTAACCAGAGACATACCTGTAGCCTCCTCGTACTAACTAGGGCCATACCTGTACCCTCCTCGTTGTAAAAAGAGATAATGTAACTAGATGATACGAGTAGGTTATAACATCTTCACATTGCGTAACTTGAATCTTGAATTCACCTCAACCATGACCACTGAGAGTTTAATCAAGTTTAAGTCGATAACCGAATAAACGGTCATGCTTGACCTTTGATCGATCATAAACTTTTAATCGATAACCGGAAGAAAGGAAATGATTGACCTGTGATCGATCATACAGTTTTAGTCGATAACCGGAAGCACGAATATGCTTGACCTGTGATCGATCATAAAAGTTTAGTTGATAACGGGAATCACGAATATGATTGACCTGTGATCGATCATGATATTTTAGTCGATAACCGGAAGCACGGATATGATTGACATGTGATTGATCATAAAGTATTTGTCGATAATCGGAAGCACTGATATGATTAACCTGTGATCGATCATATCTTGTCACCAAAATTATGAAGGGTGTCAAATCGGTGCGAAACTTACCCTAAAAATAGGATTGTTTATTATAACAAACCATTCAGATTGCAAATTATAGCATACACATCTTGTTCTTAATTATAACATACTGATCTGATTCTTCATGACGTTTATATTTGTCAATATGTTGACACATTTTATACAACATGTCAGCATAAAATTCCCTTTTTTCAAAACTCCGTTTTACAATTTTCTTAAAAGAAGTAATGTATTTTGATATTCCTGCAGTAATGAAATTTGAAATATGATTTCTAATTCCAAATAGAACAAAAAAATCCAAATTATAAGAATAAAAAAAACACCATCCAGTATCTATGTATCGCTTACCG